TACCACAATGCAGAGGTTTGATGTAGACAGTGTGGGGGTGCAAGAAGGAAATGGCTGGGATCTCATGTGAGAGTCCAATGACTCTCCCGACTCCCTCCTTCTATGAGGGACCATCAGGAAGCCCAGTGTTAAGGGTTTCTTTCACGTAGTCACATGAGGATGATGGCTATTATGCTCAGAGGATAGCACTACAACACCATGTAATGCCTGCTGCTACTTAATGATACAGTGAGAAAGCCCTCACTAGGTGCCAGCACCATGCTCTTGAACTAACCAGCTTTCAGAACCATGAGCTGAATAAATTGGTATTCTTCATAAGTTACAAAGAACCAAGCTGTTAAGTCCATTCTCTTGTATGTATATGCATCCGTTCATGCCTTGGGTGAATATTTATTCAGTATCTACCATATGCTCAGCATCCAGTCACAGGCTACCCGTGTCCACATTGGGTCAGAGACCAGCATCATCTTGAATTGCTGTTTGCTTCTTCAGTTATAGCAGCAGATAACAGACGAAAATGACAGCACAATGTCATGTAAAGACACAAGAGAAGGAAGGCTTTGGTACCTTCTCTAAGCAGGACTTCTACCCCCAAGGCCAGTGTCTCACTACCACTCTCCATCAATGTCTGAGGGGAACTACTGGTCCCAAGGATCCAGCTACAGCTGAGGTCCTGTGCCTGTCAGCTGTACTCCTCTGCCAGCTGAAGTAGAGAGCATCACTTACATTGCAGAGCAGTGGGAGTATGCCCTGCTGCCCCCCAGGGACTGCAGCCTTTAACCAGAGAAGGTGCAGTGCACTGCTGAGGGCCTGTAGAATCAGTAGAGACAGGGCTGCAGCCAACGGCAGCATCCATGGGAGAAGGGCTATTCTCAGCTCTACTGAGATATAAATAGTGAAGGGTGTAGTTTAATTGATCCAGATTCCTCAGAAAGATCCAAACCTTCAAGCATTCAGCAGTTGCCACTTGGTGTGGGATGTCCAGTCTGATGCTGTATACAGAGCTCTGAATACAACACATTGCCTGGACTTGTGGAACATCCTCTTTGCTGGGCACCCTGCAATCTTTTTTCCTTAACTTTAATTTTTAAGCTTTTCATACATATTATATATTGAGCATATTGCCCCTCAGCCCTCTTACCTTTCTGTCCCCTGGCCTCTCCTGTTACTCCCCTCCTGTCCCTCCAAACACTTCTATTTTTATGTCATATATATATATATATATATATATATATATCCCATAAGTGAGGAAAAACATGGGCTATTTGTCTTTCTGATACTGGCTTAATTCACTTAATATGAGCACCATCAGTTGCATCCTTTGCCCTGTAAACGACATAACATTATTCTTCCTTATGGAATAAAATTTCCATTGTGTCAATAAACATTTCCTTATCCATTCCTCTGTCCATGGAATTCCTCTGTCTTATGGTTGGTTCCATAAGTCAGCTATTGTGAACAGTGCTGCAGTAAAAATTGGTGTGCAGGTATCTCGTGATATATGGACTTGGTGTCTTGAGAACTGTAAAGGGAGATACAGGAGTCTTTGAGTCTTCACAAACAGCAGGTCTTTTCATGCCTGATGATGAACCTGCCAGAAATACATCTAATTCCCAGTAGATAGGATGGGGCATGAGGTCTGTTCTAGTTTGCATTCTGTTGCTATGGTAAATACCATGACCAAAAACAACTTGGGGAAGAAATGGTTTGTTTCATCTTACAAGTTGCAGTCTATATTCAGGCAGGAATGCTGTTTACTGGCTTGCTCCCCCTGGTTTGCTCATCTACCTCTCTTACACAATTCAGGCCCACCTACCTAGGGATGACACCTCCCAGAATGGACTGGGCCCTCCAACACCCAATAGCAATTAAGGAAATGCCTCAGACATGCCGCAGACCAATCTGATGAAGGAAATTCTGCAGTTGAGGTTACCTCTTCCTGAGCAACTCTAAGCTTGTGTCAAGTTGACAGTAAAAGCTAAGCAGCACATGATCCTTAAATAGAGCCAAGAAGTGCAGCCAGAGTAATCTAAGCCAAATGCCCCATCTAGAAGCCAAGATACCAAGGCTCCCACTGGCCAGTCCCCTATAGGGCTGTACACGGACTCCAAACTTCCTGAACTTGAAATGAGTGACTTCTTCTGTGGTGGCAGGGAGGGTATATGCGCACATGTATGTGTGTATGTGTGTGTGTGTGTGTGTGTTTGTGTGTGTGTGTGTGTGTGTGTGTGGTGTGTAAATGTGTACCTATGCATGAATGCAGAGGCCAGACGAGATTGTCAGGTGTTCTGTCATTCTCCACTTTAGTCCCTTGAGACAAGATCTCTCACTGCATCTGGAACTAAGCTGGTGACCAGCAAGCTCCAGTAATCTGTTTGTCTCTGCCTCCCATATAGGACTGTGGTTACAGGTGCATGTAACTGCAGCCATCTTTACAAGTTCTCTGGGGATTTGAACTCAGGTCCTTGTCTCACAGCAAGCACTCTTACCCACTAAGCCATCTCCCTACCCCTGGAATGAGTGACTTCTTGTCACAGGAAAGTTGTTACCTAGGGGAAACCATCTCACTTTTCTGATGCTTAGCTTCCAAATCTGTCAAATGAAGGTAATAACAACTGTCACTGAGACTAATGTGACTTTAGAAACATGGTAAGTGCTGAGGACAGTGTCTCCTTGGCACATGGTAATTAATTACTAATTCTTAAAAGAAGAGGAAATGGGGCTAAGGATATCTCTTGATGGTATAGTGCTTGTCTAGCATGAAATAGGCTCTGGTTATTTGAGTTTCTTAAGCATTCATGCTGCCTTAAGCAGATATCCTTCTTTCTTTCTGATCTATGAGTTGCTGGGTGATTGAGAAAGGTCCAGAAATCCAATTCCTAACTCCATCAACTCATATATACAAACATCCATTCATGTCTTGAGTGAATATTTATTCAGCACCTACTCTGTGCTCCATGCTCAATCACAAGCTTCCCTTGTCCACACTGGATCAGAGTCCAGCTTCCCCGTGAACTTGATGCTTCCTGCTTGCAAGTTGTGAAGCACTTTGAACTAAATGTGGAGCCAGATACTGGCTCCAGTGTCCCAGCCTTACCCCTGGGTGTGTGTCTACTCTGTCCATCTTCTGATTTGATACCTGGTTTTATCCCCCTACCCTGGGCTTCAGTGCTCACTGTTGACTCAAACTACCAGCCTGGCCCTGTTCCACCTGCTGTCCTTGACGCTAGCAGCCAATGTCTTATCGGATAGAGTACATACGCGGCAGCCGCCCTGAGAAGAATGACCTCAAAGGACTATAACTACAGTGACTATCTGAGCTTGAGTAGAAACTGTAGTGGAGTAGCCATCTCTGCTTTAATATGCACTGCCCTTATAATAGAAATACGGGATTTCCCTGTTAACCCTGCTGTTTACCTGGTCTAATGAGTCCTCTATCCCCCCATTTCCCAGAGGATAGCAGCCTTCCTGTGTCATAGTTGGTGGTACCATTAAAGGAGGTTCCCTCAGGCTCAATCCCCAAGATGCAGAAAAACATACCCAGTAGCTTCAGTAACTTAGATAACTCCACAGGGCAACCTTCGTCACCTGACAGTTAATACAAAGACCTGGGTGACTGGAGAATACTCAGGGAGAAGTTGAGAAAAAGAGAGGAAGTGCACCCTAAAAGAGTAATCAGCTTGACACTGAATGGGCTATAACCACAAGCACATGACATGTCTGAGTTTGGTTATTCTAGCTGTGAAATGGGCTGATGATAGCCAGCACCTTTCAGGACTGCTGGGAAGACCACTTGAAAGAGTGGCTTGAAGGCAGTAACAAACTCACAGCTGGCAGGAGCAGACCATGACAGTGGTCCATGTTAAAGGCAGAAATGCATGCCTTCAGCCAACTGCAAATGTCTGCTGAGCATCTACCCGGCATGGGCATGGGCCTCTGTGATGGGATGCAGTGGTGTTGCATTAACTTTTCCTCAGAAGACATGAACAGATGTTTACTCACCCCAGGTAGACCAAACGGTACTACTGGCAGGCCAAAGTAATGATTCTTCCAAGTCAGACTTGGCCAAGCAATGAATTTTGGGGGTTTACTTAGAAAGGGTGGGTGAGAGATTACTTACAAAAGTGTAGGTAACCACAAAACAACTGCATCAGGGGCAGGGGAGATGGCTCAGTTGATGAAGTGCTACCTGTGAACCTAAGCATATGCATGAGGACCTAAGTTTAGATTCCCAGAACCCACGTATCTCAAAGCATAAGGTAGAGAGTGAGCAAGAAAGAACCTTGCTCTACACACATACTCACACAAATATCCATGCAGCCACATGCACACATGCACATACCCACACAAACACATACTTGCAACACACACACATGCACACACTCACACACATACACACATGCCTCCACGGTTGTATCACTATAAAGTCCCATGAGTCCCACTTTTGGTTAACCTTCCACTATGTGCATACTCAATAATCTCCTCAGTTGCAGCTGGTGGAGGGCAGAAGAGGGTAATGGCTTCAATTTCAGATAAGGCTCTTGTGACTCTCCCTTCCCTTCCTCTACTAGGGGGTGTCAAAAGCTCCATTACCATTATCATAGACTTATCTACCTCTGTATTGTTCTGCTCAGTAAGCTGCCATGGATACCTGGTCAATGTAATCTTCACTCCAAGATGGTGATCCTGTTAGGTCGAGAGGAAAAACCCCATATTACAACCAACATCTATGAGGTGTAGACATGGACTTCTGTATTGGAATTCAGTGGGAGCACTGCCATGGTTCTGGTGTGTCCCAGCATTCTCCAACATGGTTCAGTGAACAGACATGGCGGAGTCTGTGACTTCAGGCAGAAGCCTATGTGTGCTTGATTCTTCTTGCCTACACCAGCCATTCACAGGGATGTTTACAGGTGTACAGAGGGTGCAGGCTGGTCAAGGTGCTGCTCGGTGTGGGGAACCTTCCTCTCTCACAGTGAATTCTTCTCTTCTGTCCACAGAGCCTAAACCAGGGATGTCATATGGAGTAATGGACTTTGCCATCATTGCAGGTGAGCTGGCATAACAGAGCCCTTCTAGAAGCCAGGAAGGCCCAGGGAAGAACTGACCCATGGATCTGGGTAGAGAGAGGAATGTCCACAGCTGGTGCTTCCTTCAGAAGGGGATTTGAGGATGGAGGATGGACGGGAACAGTTTAGTCCTTGTAGGAAATGTCCCATGTGGTACCTGGTGCATGGGCAGGGAATGGGGACAAGAAGGACCTGGGCGTATATGTCAAGAGACACCCTTTTGCCAGGCTCTGGACCCATAGACACTCAAACTGAAGAGTGAATCACCTGTGTTTTATAAACAAAACATGATAAAATAAGTTCATAGAAAAGGAAGCTGGGACAAATTACTCTACAGAACTTTATTAGGGGAGTTATAGCATCAAAGCCATAGGCGGCCAAGACAAGGCCCTGATGTGGGAAAGCATTAGAAGAGACATAGGCTCATGGACATAGGCAGCCGTGATGATGCCAATGTGGGAGAACATTAGAAGAGACACAGGCTCATGGACATAGGTAGCCATAATGATGTCCCGATGTGGGAGAACATTGGGAGAGGTAAGTGCCATGTACAGCATGATGGGATTCTGGAAGGAAATAGCCTCAAATTCCAGACTATAGAGGGAGTTTCTAATTCTTACAGGCTTGGGGAGTGGAGGAGGGAGGTTTGTTCTACACCATGAGGCCCAGCATGTGTGCCAGGAGTCACAAGGTAGGAAGGTAGTAGATAAAAGTAAAGTTGTCATTCAAGGATTTCTTGGGCCTGAGCATCAGTGGGGAACTGGACTTGCTCACAGTTGCAAGTTGGACGAAGACGACTCAGCTCTCTGAGAGTGGCAAGATCATGGCAGCTTTCTGTAGCTGGCCTTGAGAGAGAGAGAGAGACTGCAGCCTAATTTTTAGGAGAAAAAGAACACCAGCTAACAGATATGTGATCCAACCCTGTATAGAACAGGGCTAGGGTGGAGGTAGATAGGATAGGTAGGTGGACTAACCTGGGCTGTTAGGACCTCATTATCTCCCTCATCCCATCCTATTCCCTGCCCAGTCTCACACCTCCATCCTAAAGGAATGACTGTCCCACACCTAGTGTTAGATCCTGGGCAGGTAGCTTCCCACTTGTAGTTCAAGAACGACCAAGTCTGGGAGTCTCTTGCTCTGCTCTCTTCTTTGTGATCCATGTTTCTAATTGGCTGATTCATAGCTCAGGGATCTTCTTCAATTAAAAAAAAAAGAAGTAATAGGAAACCATCAAAAGACCTATTCATCTTCATTTACTTCCATGTTCTCTTGCTCACCTGGGCCCTGAACACTTCTTTTTCTCAGACAATATTATTAACAGATGTAAGTGTCCCCATGAAGGCAGTAAGAAGTTTAGGAAATTATTGACATAGAAACAAGTCTTGGGAGCAGATTTAGCTTCCAACATCCCCCAACGTTATTCTTCCAGTAAATCCATATTCCAAGTAAAGATGGGTTTATTCTGCAGCTTTGAACCTAATGACAGACTTGAAACAACTTGTGCTGGTGTTTCACTCGCAGCCCTTGAGTGAATTGACTCCTCCTGACCCAACTCCTGCCTCACTTTCCTGACTCCTGAGTCCTAACGCATCCTTGGCATTGACCTCAATACATTTTCCATTGCATGGTCAAGTCCACCTCCTCCTGAAAGACCTAGGAAGTCCTCACCTCCAAAGAGTGAATGGTGCAGGCTGGGTAAGAAACAGCTCTCCGAACAACACCTTCCCCCACCCATCCCCAAGCTACCTGCTCACCCTTGTCTTTTCCTCCTGAGGACTGTGTGGAGAGTAACCAGCTCTTCCTAGTTTTCTAGGACTTTCCTGGTTTGGGTATAGAAACTCACATACCCCAGGAAACCCCTCAGTTGATGTCTGAAGAAATGAAAACCCTATGTTCCACAAGCCTCTTAGTTTCAAGCCACCACACAGGCTTTTGTTACCTGTGGTCTCTGTCTGACCAGGGGATTCCAGGTTCTTGTGTCTTATTCAAATAACTGAAGAAGAACATACAAATAGCAAGCCAACAAGAGGTTTTACTTAAGAAACAAAGTGAACTGCAGAGAGGAGAGGCTGCAAGGGAGCAGCAGACCATGAGCAGGATTTGCTCAAGAGTACCTGGCTACTTCTTGAGTCTTCCTTTTGTAGGCATAAGAGGGGGGAGAAAAATTGGTTGCTAGGGGTGGAGTATGCATCGTTTTTTTTTTTGTTTTGTTTTGCTTGATAACCTTGGTTATATAATCCTTTGTTCACTGCATGGGTCTTTTCCCACAGTGCATCTGATTTTAATCATATGTATGCTTAATTATGCATAGACATAAGATGTTAAATAGAGATTTTTTTTTTCCCTGAAAATTCACTCAGAGGACGCAGGTTGCCTTACTCTTCATGCACTCAAAACCAGTTCAGGCTAGATCAACCCATTGCCCTTCGTTCCAGGATATGCTTCAGGTAGTATTTTGCCACAAAAGAGGGGAGTTACTATAGGTTGCCAGGGAGATCTAGGTAGAAGTGACCAATTGCTTTGCTTGGAGAAGTGTATGTGTGTAGCATACTTTTCTTGTTGCAAATAGAGGGGTCCCAGGTTAAGTGCATGACTTGCAACAGTGTGCGTGTATGCAGCTCAAGCCAGCAGAGTCCTGGGTTGCTGAGCCTTCTCTGTACTTGCTGGCTTCACTAGTACTTGAAAACTGCCCATTGTGTGGTGATATCTATAGATCTTTCTTGCACAGGAGACATGAGCATTCCCACGGGGATCCTTTTCTAGCTGGGGTACAGAGTTGAGGCAAAGAGGAGAAGGATAAATGGGAGCCAGCAAGGAAGAGAAGGGATCCTTTGAGATGAACAGATGGAGAGCAGTGTGCACAGAGGGAGAGCAGTATGCGGAAGGAAGGAGCCAGCCTGTCTGGCGTTGGTGCTGGTTCTAGCAGTGTGTCTTTTCTGGCACGATCCTGTGGGTGTCAACCCTTGCCCTGAATCCCAAAGGTGCCTGTTGGGATGTTTCCTGGGGAGATATGAACAAATCTCTATTCACCCCAGATTGGACACCAGTGATAGACCAAAATATGATTCCACCAATGTCCAGCTTGGTAAGAAATGAGTTTGTTGGGCTTACCTACAGAACATGGGTGTTGGGTTACTTACAGAAAGGTGGCCACAAAACAGCTGCATCACTACAAAGTCCCATCCATCATGGTTGGTAACCTCATGGAAGCTCATCATAGAGTTCCTTTTCACATAACCTTCTACTTCCTATGTATTGAGCATCTCCCAAGATCATACTCAGCTAGAATATCAGGCGAGGATCTCCTGACCCCTTCTCTTCTTTCATCTATTAGGGAGTATCAGCAGCTCCATAAACCTAGCTGCTGCTGTATTATTTTACTGATTAATGGCTGTGTCTACCTGACCTGGCTGAGGCATTCTCTACTCCAAGAAGACATCAAATTATGCCAAGAGGAAAAAGTCACACTAAACACTACCCGGGGACTGACCTGCATCTTCTTTCCCTCCTGCAGCTGTGATTGCAGCAGTGGCCTTGGTCCTGGTCTGCCTCCTCTTCATCATGCTTCGCTACCTGTACCGGCACAAGGGTACCTACCACACCAACGAGGCCAAAGGCACAGAGTTTGCAGAAAGTGCCGATGCAGCCCTGCAGAGTGACCCAGCCCTCCAGGATGCTGGTGACAACAGCAAGAAGGAGTACTTTATCTGAGGGGCAGCAGACTTCACCTCCCTGAAGTCTGCCTCTGGCTACAGGAGACAAAGTACACCCACTACCTGCCACCATTACCAGCCCTGAGGAAGCCCTGAAGGGTACCCCAAGACTCACACTGTAGAACACTGGGTACCTGCCAGGGAGCAGATGCAGGTATGAGGGCTCAAGATGCAGGGCACCTCTCCTAGGGATAGGGACTCAAATGGCCACCCACAGGCCAGCTTTGGCTCTGCCAGGAAGAGAGAACATCTGGACATACAAGTCTCCTTGAGCAATACAGATGTCATCTCACCAGCATGAAAGCCCTCCAGGATGAGGGTGGGGGTGGGCCTGGAAGTAGGGATGCATGGAAGGGAGACATCCATAAACTAACTGGGGATAATGGCATCAAATGTCAGTCCTTGACATTTGGGGAAACAGCAGGTTCCAGAGGTAAAAGGCATCTTTGTCTCACATTGATCCAGCTCAAAATGATTACAAATAAATTTGAAATGTAACCAAGTGTTCTGTATCAAATAGCACTATTCTAATTGCCTAGGGAACAGTAAATGCTACCTGTTGCTGGCTTTTCTCCAGTGCAATTCTGTGTCTATGTGCATGGAGCAAGAACTGTCCAGTTCTGACAAGAATGTTGGCGGGGAGGCGGGGGGGGACGTGTCACCAGCATCCTTTCCCCACACTGGTACCAGCTACATGAAACAAATGGAAAGTTGAAATGTCCCTCAGGACACAGACTGCCCCAGTGATCAGGGCAGTGGCTGAAGAATTGGTTTTCTGATGCACAGTATTAGAAAAAGATAGATGTGCTCAGTAATTATGAGTGAGTTCCACCATCCCATAGTTTGAGGACAGTGGCCCCCAGTTTAGAACACAGGTTGTACATCTCCACCCAATTTAGGTCCCAGCTCCTCTTTCATAGTCTTGGGAACTTAGGCCATTAACTTGACCTGTCTGGTTTCAATATTGACATCTCTCAAGTAGAAATGACGCTAATTATGTTGACCTCTGGTTCCTGACTCCTGACAGTGGAGGCAGGAATAGAAGCATCAGATACTTGGTACTCGCTGTATTCCAAGGTCACTAACACACTGGATACTTGGTGTGCCTGTACTGGATAATGAAAATTCATCATTGCAACAGTTCTACAAGCCTCCTGAGAAGTCACTAATTTAAAATGAATATCACAGGGAGAAAATGAACTCATTAACCAGCCCCTTCCAGGTGAGTCTTTGTAAGATTCCCAGCAGATGAAAAAATCACTCAGCAACCAGAAGCACTGAGTTTAAAGACCACACTCTGCAGGGCTCAGGTCCTCTCAGGAGAGGAGCCCTCAGCTATACTGTCTTCACCAGCAAGAAAGAACCCTGCCATACTCCCTAGGAGGCTAAGGAGGACACAGCTCAGTCAGGGATGGCCACTAGTCAAAGGAGCTGGAAGTCATAGGATGTCTTAGGGAAAGAAGTGGAGATTTTATGACAGGAGATTGGTCAGATGTCAGACCTTTCCCTGGATGACTACAGCTTGTTGGCTCTCTACTTTCTCATCTGTAGATTAAAACTGGCTATAGCTATCACCCCTTAATCTAACAGAGATCTATTCTAAAACCCTTCTAAATGCTTGAAACCAAAGATAGCACCAAATCCTGTATATTGTGCTTTTCTCATACATATACACCTATGATAAGATATAACTTATAAATTAGGCACAGTAAGAAGTTAACAGCAATAACTCATAATAAAATAATATACTTATAACTATAAATTGTAATAAAAGTTTCTTGAAACTATGGATTGCTTACTTCTGGAAGTTTTCACGTAGTACTCTAGAATGACAGTTGTCCATGGGTAACTGAAACTTCAGAAAGCAACTGGAGGGGGGCAGCCTATGAAAATACTTGAACAGCGCAAACAAAAGGGGTATTTGGGTGTAGATAAGCTTAGAAAATAGCATAATTGAGAAGAATTGACATGGGGTGGGGCCTCAGCATCTCCACAAGTGGGTGGACTGATACTCCTGAGGGAGGAGAGGGGAGGCATGTAACATTTCCAAAGGGACTTATCCAGAGTCCCTGTATCTTCCACAAATATTTGATTTTTAAATTGTTAATTATATTTATTTATTGAGAAGGGTATAGACATGCCAGAGAATGTATGTGGAAGCCAGAGAATAGCTTGTAGAAGTTGATTCTTCTTCCACCATGTGGGTCCCTCGGGTAGAACTCAGGCTATCAGACTTGAAAACAAGTGCCTTTATACACTGAGCCTTCTCACAGCCTCTTCACAGAGTATCTGTGACAAAAACTCACTCCTGGACCAAGTAAGTGTTCCTGGGGACATGTTTAGGAAACACAAAAGAACTCCTAATATCCTTTCCTGTGGTGATATCTCTCCTGACTTTTCAGAGCAGTCAGACTTGGGGTCTTGTCTCCAAGGATGTGAACACAGGTACATGTCCAGTAGGCAAAGAGGAGGCACCCCATCCACACACAGATATCCCTCTCCATGCATAGGGTGATCCCAGAGACCCCTGGGCCTCCAAGAGAGCTAACATCCTTGTCTGGCTATATGTCACCCCCTCCCTTGGCAGGCCAAAGTTCTATCTATGCTGCCTTTGGATTCCTGAGAAGTGACTCCCAAGCTAGGCCCTTCTCTTTCCTTCCCTTTCTCTTTGTTCTTATCTGCCCCAGTGCCTTGAAAACTACTGACCCTCAGTCTGGCCTGGACCTGGTCCAGCAGCAGCAGTGACACCAGGTACAAAACTGAGTCATCGAAGGTGGACCTGCCTGATGCCACCAAGGAAGGCACTATCTCTGGTGAACTACAGAAGCCAGAGGAGTGTACCAAAGGGTAAAATGAGTTCATGACACACCCTCTCTCACACACACACAGAGGCACATAATTCATGCCCACTTAGGTCAGGGAGCAACTTTATCTCTGATCCCTCCCTCAGTGCACTGAAGTCAGACATCATGCCTGCACGGAATGTTGCTAAGTATGCCCAGAGGTACACACTGAAGTTTCTAGAAGCTGTTAAGGAGGAAGGAGGGGAGAAGGAGATGATCAGAGAAAGAGAGTGTGGAGATAGAAAGACAAGGCGGAGGGGAAAAGAGGGCTATATAAAAAGAACACAGCTTAACACTCTGGAAGAAATCTCAGCTCCTTAGCACAAGAGCCTCTTTTAACCCACACAGTGACCCTGGCAGGTAGAGATTCTCCTCCATCCCTTAGATATATAGAGACTCAGAAGGATTGAAGGCTGCTGGAGGTCATGCTGCTTCTGACAACAGAGGGGGCATCAGACCCAGGTCTGCCTGGCCCTCCTCCCTTCAACAGGTTGAAGATGGTCAGTTAGAGCCCCACAAAGGGCAGAGCTGCAGCACCAGGGCATGAGAATTCCAGAATAGCTCACTGCTGCTAGGGCTGGAGCACCCCAAGGAAAGCCCTCTGTAGTCTAGTGTCCTTGCACATGACAACCTGGCATCTCTGATAAGAGTGACCCTTCTTTGAGGGAGGAGATCATCACATTGGGCAGCTGGCCTGCCCCTGACAGTCAAGTTAGGAAGATGTCAAGATCTGTTGGGTCACTGACTCCCCATCCATGCTTCAAGACATCAGGAGGATAGCCCAGGCCACTCTCAGTAAAAGGAAAATGGCCTACCAGATGACATCATGACAAAGCAACTGTGCCAACCCTTCTAAATAGTTTGTTCTGCTTTCTAGAAAAAAATGGTCATCCAACAATAAGAACGCTGCTGCCCCTTGGCCCATCCTTGTATGATTTAACCCTGTAAATCCATCAAAAATTGAAGATATCATTAAGTCAAAAATGCATTTTATGGGCCGGTGAGATAGCTCAGTCAGTAAACCATGTGTCTTGCATGCCTGAGGACCTGAATTCAATCTTCAGGGGCTTGAACATTTTAAAAGTCAAGTGTGGCAGCACACACTTATAATCCTAATGCTGGGAGACAGCAACAGGTGGACCTCTGCTGCTTGCTGGCCAGCTACCCTAGCCTACTTTGATGAACTCCAGGCCAATGAGATACCCTGTCTCAAAAAATAAAGTAGACAGCAACTAAGGATAAACACCCAACGTTGCCCTCTGGTCTCCACGCATATTTTTTCTGAAAGATAAATTGTTTTCCTAGCTTCAAAAATTCACAGACATAGTCTTGCTCAAGTAGTATCTCCTACATTCTAAGTACTCTCTCTCTCTCTCTCTCTCTCTCTCTCCCCCCCTCCCTCCCTCCCTCTCATTAGGTCACAAATTCTAGTTGCCATTCTCTCTCAAATCAGGCCATATCCCTTGTAGCTCTCTCTGGGACACAGTTAAGAAGCTGTGCTGTGCTGCAGCCTTGCAGTCCCTCCCTTTAGCAGCTGCAAGATAAGTTTATGATCCCATCTAGTACCTGGCTCCATTCATGCCAGGAGCCACATAGATCACATAGATTATATCATGTGGTGTAGAACTTCCCACTGACCCGAAAACCTAATTCTCTCTCTCTCTTTCTCTCTCTCTCTCTCTCTCTCTCTCTCTCTCTCTCTCTCTCTCTTTCAGCACCCACCACATCGTGTTGTCATGATAGCTGTCTTTCTGACTCTCTTAAGCTGTTTCTCAGCGTTCTCATAAACATCACAATGCTCTTCCCACCTCAAGGCCTGATCTTGGCCCAGGGGTTCAAGATATTCTCTCCTAACAAAGCTCATTCTGAAGGGTAATTGATCTCAGCTTCCTTTCCATCAACTCTGACAATTTCTTTGTTATAACCATGCATACACACTCACACTCACATGCACACACACACATACATGCACAGAGAGAGAGAGAAATATATTTTATACATGTAGCCACAAACACAGCTGAGATACAGATACTCAGAACACTTCCATTTTGCCAGTAGAGTTGGGCAAAATCATCAAACCCAATCCCTTTATTATAATAAAGTATTGACTGTCTTGTGTAAGTTCTTAAATATTGAAGTGAAAGTGAAAAACAAGATTTGTGGGTACATTTCCGCACTGCTGTAAAGGCAAAAGTTTCTGAGCCCAAACCATTCAAGAGCCATCTGTATTTAGTAAATAAATTTCAAACTTGGAGACAGATTTTGTGTGTGCCTGCGTGTGTGTGTGTGTGTGTGTGTGAGAGAGAGAGAGAGAGAGGAGCCAAAATCTACAAACATTTATTAGGTACTCATGTAAATGTGGGGATTATATAGCTGAAGATAGTATTTCTGCTTTCAGGAGTCTGTGGCTTAGCAGAGAAGATAAGCATGCAAATGTTTGTAACCCTAAGGTGTCTCAGATGCTGAAAACAAAGGGATGCAGATAAATTTGAAAACTGAGAAGAGAGACACAGTTTAATCTGAAGAATGAGATAGACTTAGGAAGAGGCTCTGAAAGGAAAGGGTTTGGGTCAGCAGAAGAGTAGTATTGGATTGTAGGGAACTGGGCCCCAAGCTAAAATGTTGGTGTTTGCCACATGAGAGCCACTGAAGGAATGAGTT